CAAACACAATTTACACATCCTCAGAGCCCCAATCACAGAATATAATGGCACTGAGTAGTTATTCACAAGGCGTACTGAATTCACACACTTACGGATAATCAAGGTTTTTCAAAGCTTCTTGGATGTCAATAACATCTACATAATACCAAATGATGACATTCCAGACAAAACAAGGAGTAATCGTCTCAGAATCAAAGCACACCCGTTCACGACTGTCGGTGGCCGACCCGAGATCGATTAGACAAACCCACCCGTACGAAACTGTCAGTGGCAAAAGAGACATCTCTACAAAGGTGCTACATAGGCTTAATGTCCCCTAGCACGAAAGGATGCCCCAAGAATGTCATCAAAACAAACACAATACCACTCACCATAACCTGATTTCCCAAAATCCGATAACACTGAAGCAAACACATGAAACATATTCTAATTAGCCGAGGATAAATATTCAGTACTCTTCACAATCAAATCAATCTGTCGTCATCGGTTTCCATAGCGTCAAATAAGCAAGAAGATGACAACACGCATGCGTTATTCCTTAAGACATCTAATCACTGGATCTGCACAATTCAGTTCATTTTTAATATATATGTCCTCAATAGTTTAGGGTCGGTTCTCAATGGTGCTCAAGGTTAGATCAATCCGTTGATGGTCCACAAAAGGTCTTTCAGATCAATCAAATATTCCAAACGGTTTCAAGTTTTGGGTCTATCAGTTTTCCTGCCAAGAATAATCTGGCCATTTTTATGAACAATTCTCAATCCCCTTTAACAGAATCAACTCGGATAGAGGTTCTTATCAAATCAATCCAAGCAAAGGTCTTGTCAAATTAAATCAAATAATGGTCCCATCAAATTATATCCAATGAGGGTTCTATCAGGTCAAATCAGACAAAGGTTCTATCGGATCAAGTCAGATAAAAGTTTTCCTCAATTAGGGTACATTCGATTCTGTAAAGCTCACTTCGTTTGCTTAGGTACATGGTTAACAGTTTCACAACTGTCCTAAGTTCATCAGTTCTCAAAATCATATCGAAGTCATTCATCACAACTGTTCATATCAAAGTATTTTAAGTCATGTACAATATAGCATTGTCCACACAAATTCAGGTATAGTTGCATATGCATGCCGTTATTCAGATCAGGAGGTATGTACCATAATCAATACAGTAATTCCCAAACAAGTCTTATATGCAAACACATGGTGCCTAGTAACAGATTAAACAAAGTTCCTCGGTTGTACATAGCATAGGGTTGTTACGCAAAAATCCCAAATCAGTCACAGAAGCATAGGTTTACTATAGTCACTAATTCACCAATTTAATCAACTTAATCTGGTCCGAATCAATTTTCAATTAAATTTCACCGTAGGCTCTAAAAATTACGCTAATCACAATGGCGTAATCAATTTCGGATTCTGTGGCCAATAAAGTCTTCAATTTAATTTCCCAAAGTAGGTAATCAAACAGATATTCCTATGGCGAATAGATAGAAATTCAAAACCACATATTTCCACATAATGACACACAAAATCATATTAAACACATAATCATATTCATGTTAATGACCAATTAGCGTATTACGGATTAGGGGTATCACATCTAGGCTCAGGTTTATTCTGTCCCTGTGCGGTACAAAAAATTATGGGAAAGATAGTGAGTGAATTGACTGTAGCCCATCAATTATAAGAATAAAATGTAAACAAATAGAAGGTTAAGATAAATGCCTACCTCTATTAAGGCATGTGCAACCTTAGCAAACAGTCTTGCATAAATAGTTTTCTGTGGCTTCTTCACTTTACCAAGCTTTTCCAATTCCCTCTGTAACCTTTTCCAGAAGACCATGAATTAGAAACCAAAGACTCCGTTTGTGAGCTAAGAAATCCAAAGCTCGTTAATTTAAGACTCTTACCCAACTGCCCAACCACTAATGTAACTAAAAGGAGAAAGCGGAAAATTCTTCAATTTATTAAACAGAATACTACAGGTGCAAGGAAAAAATGGTACTCATGTTAATCAGGTATAACGAGCATTTCTTGGGAAGAAAATCAAACCAAGATATGAATGTCCACAAGATTGGAACAACACAAAATTAGATGATTTAAGCCATATGAAATGAACTAAAATCTGCAGGCCTGCACTGTCCTAACTCATTGCACCCCTATAATTTCTTCACCACCATGCTAGTTGTTAGTATAACAAAGCCATTGAATCTAAGATAGCTATCCCTGATGTTTATTTTTAATTTTCATTTTTAACCTATGCTGGACATCAAGATAAAAGTGATACCCAGTAATTGTTCCATCTCCAGAGTCCTACAAATTAATGTTGTAGCCATATATATTAGGCAAATTTTACTGAGAATTCAAGTTTCTTACTTTGTTTTGTTTTTTCTTTTTCCATGATCAAGTAAATTTATTGCCAACATAAATTTCCAAAATCAACCAAAAAATGTTAAATTTACTAGATTTGAACTTGGAATTGAATTGAAACATACCCGAATAAACAATGTAGAAGAGTTGGCTCTCAAGACCTTGTAGTTGAATTTAAGACCGTGACTCGATTCTTGAATCCGCGAAAGCATCCACCAATCCATCACCACAAAACAAGCCAACAACACAATCACAACCACCACAACGCCTTTCATTCACTTCTTCACAACTTTCCTCTTTACCCCTCCTCGTTGTTTCGATTCGGTCACAAACCCTAACCATTCCAAAATTCCAAACCAAGAACAAGAGAGACGGTGCTACAGATGCTGTTGTTGCCGCTGCTACAGACGCTGTTGTTGCCGTTGTGCGAGCACGAGTGAGAGACAGAGTGACGACTGGGTGAGAGAGAAGGTCTGCGCGAGCAAGAACGAGAGGAAAGAAGAGGGTTACCTAGATGTTGTTGTTGCCGCTGCAAGAGAGATAGAGTGACGATTGGGTGAGAGGGAGGGAGAGAGCAGTGAGATTAGGGCTTCTTTTTTTTTTTGATCTCAAGAGATAACAGAGAATTTGGGAATATCGGGAAAGAGGGAGAGTGGGAGGGGGTTTTGGCGCGAATTTAGGAATTACTATTTGCGACGATATTAAGGCCCGTCGCGAATGAAAGAGAAAAAAATAAAATTTTGCAACGGATTCCCAAAAGAGCGTTGCAAAAAAAGAAAAAAAAAAATTTAAAACCAGAAAAATTTTGCCACATTTAACTTACCGTCTCATATAACCTTAATTTTTGCCACAGGCTAATTTTTTTCGTCGCAAAAACTATAAATTCCATGACAGCACTTAAACCGTAGCAAAAAGCAAGCTTTTGCGACGGCACTTAAACTGTCGCAAATTGTTCCGTGTCAAATGCTCCTTTTTCTAGTAGTGTGACAGAGAGTGGAAGACTGCAATAGACGGAAATCGGCGACCAAGAGTGGTGACGGAGAGCGGCAACGGCGACCCCTACGGTGTCCCACGAATCCATTCCCAGGCCTAAAATAATCCCCCACTTTTATTTTCTCAGAGAGATTTGTCCCAAGCCTAAAATAATCCCCCACTTTTATTTTCTCAAAGAGATTTGCCCCAACAAAAAATACACACACATATATATAGAGAGAGAGAGAAAAAAAAAAGTTAGAGATCATGAAAATGACACTACAGGAAATATATGATTTAACGGCGTTTATTTAACGGCGTTTTTTTAAACGTCACTATTTGTAATATTTAATGACATTTTATAAACGTCACATTTTGTTTTTATTAAAACGGTACCGTTTAAGTAATGAAGTCGTTTGAAAAGCACCTTCGAATGTGTTACACTGTTTCTCCCTCTCTGTCTTCAAGCCCTCAAATCTCTCACAACTTATTTGAATCTGAGAAACCCTAGAATCTCAAAGAAACCGATCCCTCAAATCTCTCACTCTCTCTCTATCTCTCTCTCTATGCTGAGATGTGAACAAAGGACCATCATCTTCCTTATAGAACCCGGGAATTTTTGTTTCTTAGTAGATGCTTTCATAGTACTTGTATGTATAATTAGTTTGAATTGCATCTTTTGTGCCGATTTGTTTTGTAATAACTTTCAACTTACCACTAGGCACTAGGTTAACTTTATTTCATCTTGGAATTGAAATATTTTTGCGTATTGAGAAGCATGAATTGATCTAGTATTATGTTTACCTAAATTTAGTCAATATATTGTATATTTTTCATCTTTATAAAAGGGATTTTTTTTGGGTTAAATCTCACAGAATTAGCACAATTTATTATTATTTTTTTTAAAAAAAATGAAGTTATAAAGGCGTTTTTAATACTAACGGTTATATTTTTAAAATAAAAATGATCTATCACGGCGTTTTTAAAACGTCGCTAAATGTGGAGTGACGTCATTGCATCATTATGAAGCACATTAAAACGCCGCCTATACTGATATAGCAACGCTTTTAAAGCGTCATAAAGTTACAGCGACGGCCGCATCTTCGGCGTTTGGTACTAAACGTCACAAAAACAATTAGCAGCGTTTTTGATAGCTATAGCGGCGTTTTTTAAACGCCACTAAAAGCTTAATTTCCAGCAGTGCGATCATGAAAAAGTTGTGATTCTTGAATTACCATAATTAGTATGCGGTACTTTATTTTGAGTATAATTTAAAAGTTATAAACCTTTTATGATTATTTTCATTAAAAAAATTTTATAATACCTGACATTGTTGATATAAAGAAAAGTTAGTTGACTGGAATTTTTACTCTCTCATTGTCACTCTCTCCTTGCTTTGAAGATGGTCACAGCAAATATTTTGTATAATATGTAAAGAGAGAGAGAGTTGTAGAGAGACAGAGACCTTGGGGACCGCTGAAAGATAATCTTGTGTTTTTATTTGTTTTTTTTTATATTTTATTCTAAAATAACATCACGTTGGGGACCGCTGAAAGATAAGGCGGGTGAGTATCCGAACACCACAAATATTGAGGTTGACTAGTCTAAAGTTTGGGTTCATTTTGAACCAAACAAATCAAGATTAAACTCCTCGATAGTAGCGGTTCCTGCGCCGTTAAGTAGCGTATTCTCAAGACTCAGGGCTGAACAGCGCGTGATCATTCTTCAACTCTCCATCTCTCTCTAACAAGCATATACTTGTATATACATATATAGCACTCACTCTCTCTCTAGAAACTCAGTCAGTTCCGTCTCTTCGACGAATGTCTAGTGTTGTGGCGGAGAGAGACAGCGTACCGAATATGAAACTCTCACGCGCCGCCACGTCTTGCGAGTCACCGTCGCTGGGGCAGATCCGGCAGTCCGACGGCGGCATGCCAAAGGTCGCCGGCGATGAGCAGCCGCCGCCGGATCACCATGTCATCAGCATCGAGCCTCGTCGTCTGCCCTTCGTTCTCTACTTCAGCAACCTCACCTACAGCGTCAATGTCAGCCGGAAAATGACGCTTCCTTCTCTCCTCCGCCGTCAGCACAGCCTCCATGCGGCGGAGCGACCGCTGTCGGGCGAAAACGCAACCGGAACCAAAATCCTCTTGAATGAAATCTCCGGCGAGGCTCGAGACGGCGAAATCCTGGCCGTTCTCGGAGCTAGCGGGTCCGGGAAGTCGACTCTGATCGATGCGCTGGCGAACCGAATGGCACAGGGAAGCTTGAAGGGGACGGTGACTCTGAACGGCGAGGCTTTGGAATCACGATTAATGAAAGTTATATCGGCGTATGTAATGCAAGACGATCTATTGTTTCCGATGCTCACCGTCGAAGAAACTCTTGTATTCGCGGCTGAGTTCAGACTCCCCCGAACTCTCTCAAAATCGAAGAAGAAAATGCGAGTTCATGCCCTAATCGATCAACTAGGGCTCCGAAAAGCCGCCAAGACCGTCATCGGCGACGAAGGCCACCGAGGGGTCTCCGGCGGTGAACGCCGTCGAGTCTCCATTGGAATCGACATAATTCACGATCCAATCATTCTCTTCCTCGACGAACCGACCTCCGGGCTCGACTCAACCAGTGCTTTCATGGTGGTGAAGGTTTTACAGGGAATCGCGCAGAGTGGAAGCATCGTCATGATGTCGGTACACCAGCCGACCTATCGAATCCTCGGATTGCTCGATCGATTGATCTTGTTATCACGTGGACAAACCGTTTTCAGTGGCTCGCCAATGGATTTACCATCATTCTTCTCTGATTTCGGTCATCCGATGCCGGAGAACGAGAACAAAACAGAGTTCGCACTCGATTTCATCCACGAACTTGAAGGATCGTCTGGTGGAACCAAGAGCTTAGTCGAATTCAACAAGACCTGGCAGAGCACGAAGCGGACTCGAAATCCCGAGACTCCAACACAAAATTTGTCACTGAAAGAATCCATAACCGCAAGCGTTTCACGTGGAAAGCTCGTCTCTGGTGCAACCAACAACGATGCTAGCTCCACCTCAATGGTGCCTGACTTTGCAAACCCATTCTTGTTCGAAATTGCTGTACTATCAAAGCGTTCGATGACCAATTCTAGTCGAATGCCGGAGCTCTTCGGTGTTCAACTAGGAGCCATCTTGGTCACCGGACTCATCCTAGCCACCGTGTTCTGGCGGCTCGATCATTCGCCAAGAGGCCTACAAGAGCGATTAGGGTTTTTCGCATTCGCCATGTCAACAACCTACTACACTTGTTCCGAAGCCTTGCCTGTTTTCCTTCAAGAGCGCTACATATTCATGAGAGAAACAGCTCAAAATTCTTATCGCCGATATTCGTATGTCGTCTCGCGCTCACTCACCGCAATTCCTGCGTTGATATTCCTCTCTGCTGTTTTCGCCGCCATAACGTTCTGGTCGGTTGGGCTCAGTGGTGGAGTTTCCGGGTTCTTATTCTATTTCCTCGTCATCTTGGCTTCATTCTGGGCCGGAAGCTCATTCGTGACGTTCCTCTCCGGCGTAGTCCCTCACGTCATGCTCGGTTACACCATCGCTGTCGCGATCTTAGCTTATTTCCTTCTCTTCAGTGGATTCTTCATCAACCACGATCGAATCCCACTGTACTGGATTTGGTTCCATTACATTTCACTTGTCAAATACCCATATGAAGCTGTGTTACAAAACGAATTCAATGACCCAAACAAGTGCTTCGTGAGAGGGATTCAAATCTTCGACACCACGCCGCTTGTGGAAGTCCCGGTAGCATTGAAGGTGAAACTGTTGGAGAGCATAAGCAGTACGTTGGGGACGAACATATCGAGCACGACGTGCGTGACGACAGGGATAGACATATTGCAGAAGCAGGGAGTCACAGATTTGAGTATATGGAACTGCTTGTGGATCACTGTTGCTTGGGGGTTCTTCTTTAGGATTCTGTTTTATTTCTCTTTGTTGCTGGGTAACAAGAACAAGAGGAGTTAAAAAAAAAACGGTTTAAACAGGTTTGTCGGTGTAAAAGTTTTTTTAAAAAAAAAACTTGGCGGGAGTGGGGTTTATTGTTTTTTTTATTATTTTATTTTAGTTTTTCCCATTTTATAAATGGGAATTTACTGTTGTTGAGTTTAAGTGTAAAATTGTTATAGACAAAATATAGTACTCCAATAATTTTATTTTATTTTTTTTTTCTCATTTTATAAATGGGAATTTACTGTTGTTAAGTTTTAAGTGTAAAATCGTTAGACATAAATATAGTATTCTAATAACTAGTCTTCTACCTGTGATTAGGATTGAGAAAAAAAAAATTGGAAAAAATTACAAATTGGTTCGATTTAGATCAAATTGAATGATTTGATTTTTAGATTTTTATGATTAGATCTTGTGTGAGTGATTTTCTGATCACACTGCCCGTTTAGTAATCAGCTAGAGAGCACTGGCAGAATAGATGACTTCAGCTAACTTGCAACAGAAAGAGAAGGCTTCCGGCGGTGGTTCTTCCACCTGCAACAGAACCACCGCCGGAAGCCTTCTCTTTCTGTTGCAAGTTAGCTGAAGCCATCTATTCTGCCAGTGCTCTCTAGCTGAACTGATTTACTAAACGGACAGTGTGATCAGAAAATCACTCACACAATTTGGCACCGTCTGTGGGAATAAAAGAAGAATAGGGGCCTGTAACGGACAGAAGGAAAAGATTAGGGATGACACTCCTGCTGGGAGTGGCAGACACTATCGACCTTTGATATCGAAGAAGACAACCACAATGCAGAAACTTGCGACCAAGGCCACAGAGAGAAAGACGTCGGCCAGACTAGCGACATACCAAAGGAACCAGATCAAAGCAAAGTACTATAACGAAGATAACCTCCAGGTATGGAGGGATAGA